TCTAGCATTGATGTCATGAATGCTTGAACTAATTGTTCCGCATTCGTCAATGAGAGCATATGACGTAATTTAGATATATTTTTAAGATGGAAAAATGCGGTTTTACAGATACTATTCACGTGACTTTCAAATGAAAGATTGCTATCAAAGAGCACACCCAGGTTCCTAACCGACGACGAAGACTTAACAGAGCAGCCATCAAGTGTTAGACAGTATTCTAGGTTATTACGTGTGGAAGTTTTTTGTCGAATAATTAGAATCTCATTTTTTTCAGAATTAAGTAGTAGGAAATTACTAGTCATCCAATTTTTTATATCAGCTATGCATTCCGTTAATTTTGTGAATTGGTAAGTTTCGTCAGGGCGTGAAGAAATATAGAGCTGAGTATCATCAGTATAACAGTGAAAACTAATAACAGTGCTTTCTAATGATATCTCCTAAGGGTAGCATGTACAGAGTGAACAGCAACGGTGCTAGTACTGAGCCTTGTGGTACACCATACTGAACTTGTGATCGATAAGACATCTCTTTATTTACTGCTACAAACTGATAACGGTCAGATAAGTATGATTTAAACCATGCTAATGCAATTCCATTAATGCCAACATCATTTTCGAGTCTATTTAAAAGAATGTTGTGGTCAATAGTATCAAATGCAGCACTAAGGTCGAGTAACACCAATAGCGAGATACAACCACGATCGGATGATGAGCAAATCATTTGTGACTTTGATGAGAGCTGTCTCAGTACTATGGTACGGTCTAAATCCTGACTGAAAATCCTCGCAGATATCATTTCTTTCTAAAAAGGAACATAATTGTGAGGATACTGCCTTTTCTAGTATCTTTAACAGAAAAGGTAGGTTCGAGATCAGCCTGTAATTGACCAATTCTGTACGATCAAGTTGCGTTTTTTTAACAAGTGGTTTAATCCTAGCCAGCTTAAAAGTTTTTGGTACGTATCCTAGTAACAAAGATGAATTAATGATATTGAGAGGAGGATCTATGACCTCTGGAAGCATCTCTTTCAATAGCTTAGTCGGTATAGGGTCTAACATACATGTCTAACATACATACGATTTAGATGATTTAACGAGTTTAGAAAATTCTTCCTCTTCAATAGCAATGAATGAATCGAATTTTTCCTTGGGGAGGCTACAATGCACTCCCTGATGCGATGTTATAGTAGATGGTTGCATAGTTATAATTTTCTCCCTGATGTTATCAGTCTTATAAGTGAACAAGGTCATAAAGTCATTACTGTTGTGCTGCTTGGAAACTTCTGGGCTTGAAGCTTTATTTTTTCCGTTAGTTTAGCAACTGTTTCAAATAAATACCTAGGGTTTAGTTTATTTTCTTCTAATAGGGTTGAGAAATAAGCAGATCTAGCAGCTTTCAAGGCCTCTCTGTATGCAATCGAGCTCTCCTTCCATGAAATGCGAAATACCTCTAGTTTAGTTTTCTTCCAGTTTCGCTCCATTTTTCTGGCTGCTCTCTTAAGGGCCCGAGTGTGCTCGTTGTACCACGGCATTGGACTATTTTCTTTAATCTTCTTTAAGCGCAATGGACCTAGTGTGTCTAAAGCAGAGTTAAAAAAATGCACAAAAAAACCCAAAGTTTTCTGTTTACAGGCACCGGAATCCGTTCCGAGAGTGAGACGGAGGAGGTTGCCGGGGCTTTTAAGGCAGGAACAGCGGCCCCTCCACCTCCTATCCAGCAGAAGGAGGATTATGGGAAGGGAGTGATATTTTACCTGAGGGACAAAGTGGTGGTCGGTATCGTTCTGTGGAACGTCTTCAACAGAATGCCCATCGCAAGGAAGGTGAGCAGAGATATCATTCCCTTTCTCCATTCATCTTCATTTCAGTGTCTCTCTGATAAAGATTGTTAATTTGTTATGTCTTTATTTGTAGATAATCAAGGATGGAGAGGAACATACAGATCTGAATGAGGTGGCCAAGCTTTTCAACATCCATGAGGACTGAATAATCTTTGGTTTTCTCTGTTCTCTTTCCATATCTCTGTGGAGTGAACTTGGGAAAAGACATACACACACACAGAACAAACACATACAGGCTTACAACAGCCTGTCATCTGTCATTTTGACCTTGAACTCTCTGAGATCAGGACACATGCAATGCTGCCTCTGGGGCTGTGATTTCAATGTGCTCATGGATTGGTTCAAACTGTATCACTTAATTTTCTACTGAGGGAAATCTATACCTGTTGTTTGTATTGAAAAGTGCTGTGTTTTTTTTCCCGTTGAGGTCAGTAAATTTTCATCTCACTTCTTGAATGCATCCCTTCTGAACAGCTCCTCCAAAGCCTGACGGGATAACCACTTTTGTTGAATATTGCAACAAAATTGCATTTTGAATCAAACAAAACCAGATGAAAGACATTCCTCTGACACCTGGTAGCACAGTTTTCTGTCTGCACGATCAAAGCAGCTGGTACAAATGAAACTAATAAAAGTAAATTATTTTTATTTATGCCTCATGTTTCATTTAAATTCTTCCTAACTTTGGTTTCTGTTAACATTTGTCGACACTGTACAGTGATTGTTTGGCCTTTCCAGAAGTCTTTCCAGGAACTTACCAACCATCTGCAAGTGCAAGAAATTGAAAAGTTGTGCATTTGAATGCCCGTGTCTCCGATATGGGTGTGACCCTGAGGGTTTTGAGATGTGTGGAGAAGATGCAATATGTTAAGGCTCATTAAACCTGTGATTGCCTGCAAACATGTTCCCTAACATAGCCTTGACCTATTTTCTTATGCACCAGCGCTCTGATATACAGGTCCGAGTAATAGAAAATTGCTCATTCTTTCTGCAGAGTGATGTGGCATGAAAAATACAGTTTGAGAAATTATGAAATTTTGATGTTTAATGAAATGTTTTCTCGTGTCCAAATGTTATTTGGATGTTGTTTTGATACAGCACTCAAAATTTAATCTGCACTGAATTGGCTGCTAGGTACAGATTACAGATTAACATTAATTCAATATTATATCTACTTATTTTTTGCATATATATATATTTTTTCAAAACAGGATCAAACATGCCCTGGAATTTAAGAGTTTCAAGATTTAGCTTTACAGTATACTGAATAGGATATGCCTATGCTATACCTATGGAATTGGGTAGTGATTTCAGGTTCAGATTATTTTAAGAGTATTTCAGCTAAATTGTTTAAATGTGAAATTCTCTCTCTACTAATGCTGTACAAATCATTTATTTGTGAATTGGACAACGTCGCTGTAATTATTTCGCTGTACACGGTCTTTGTTGCATCACATTCACAACTAGAGTAAAATAGCTACTCTTTCTTTTCCTATCAGCAGGGAGCGCATTTAACATTGTGTGTGTGTGTGTGTGTGTGTGTGTGAATTTTGCAAGTAATTTGTATTTTTGGTGGTTTGCAATGACTGAGTTCTGTAGTAAATCTGAGCTCCAGCCTCCACAAAAACAAGATCAGATGTTTCTGAGATAAAGTTCCTTAGGACTACGATATTCTCTAAAGCATATGAACAGGGTGGATGTCGCTGACCCGAACACACACACACGAGTTTCTGCTTCCACGCCAGTTAATCTGGAGTCAGCCATGAATTCTCAGTTCAGAATGCCTGAGTAGCCTACCTTTAACCCCTGTGGAGACTGAAAAATTGAAGTGAACGTGTGTTTATGTGGTGTTTCAAATTTTACGATTCATTGGTTAACTGTTTTCAGACGTGTTAATGATTAGAAGTCAGTGGTGTGTGTATTTGGATGGTCTTGGATAATTATGTTGGCTGAGAGCATGTGCGTATTGTAGCATGTGCTCCAATTCCTCCAGAGGTCAAGGCAATGTTTTAACACATCATGGACATGAACGCTGAGTGTGTGTGATTTCAGAGAAAAACTGGGTCTGTTATTCTTTAGTTTGGTTCACTCTGGAGAGAAGATACATTAAAATTAACACTGGCCTAGTTATCCACTGTGACTCAACACATAGAGCTCAGTAGGATTTCTCTTTGTTTCAGTTGTTTTTCTTACACCCACTCTTCTTGTCTTATTTTTTTTTCTCTTTTACTCCACATCTTTGTCCTATTGAGTGTCCGTTTCATGTAAAGCAGTATGATGGAGGGGGGAAATGACGGAAACGGTGTGTTCCTGCACATTCTGCTTTCAAAAACACATTTTCAGCTTTCAATATGGAAAATATATGTTCCACACAAATAAATAGAGTACAGCATTACAAAAGATTTCAAAAAGATTTTAAATACATGCTGTTCTTTTGAACTTCATCAAAGAAATAAAAAAACGTTTTGATTTTTTCATGATAATATATTTTTTGTTATTAATGTTGATAATAATATAGTGTTTATAATGAGACTTCTGTCAAAAACAATTCCTACCCAAACCTTTTTAACAGTAGTGTGTATATTATGTTTCATATTTACTAAGAGACTATGCATGCAGAATTTGTAACGTTAAAAATTAATTTGTCACACCATGTGACTATTGAAGTAAACTGCCAGGCACAAAGGTGATTAAAAATGATGGGAAATTCAAAATAAATGGTGACCAGTCACAGAACCTACAATCTAAACTGTCTCTAATACATAATTTGAACCTAAATTCTTACTTTTAAGCAACAGGAACCCCATGTTATGTGTCAAGAATATAGATATCAGAAGAGATGGATGGATGGATGGATGGATGTCCTCTGCTGCAGTGCGTCTTGGGATGTGGATCTGGAGCCCCTCAGGTGGAGTCGTGTCACAGTTGTTTATTCTGATAAAAGTCTATAAACGCATCTTACGCCCTGTTGCCTTCTCTTTTCTCGATGGAAGAACTGCACCTCAGGCTAACATGTGGATAGAGAGAGAAAGAAAGAGCAGAAGACCCCCTGTACACACACACACACACACACACACACACACATCTCTTAGTGTGCCCGTCTCGGGATGCGGTGCTCAGTCAGATGGCAGTGGAGGAGAGACCAGAGTGCATCGGAATGGGCGTCCTGCCCCTCCATAACACATCTGCCTATTGAGCTCTAGCCACGGGACACCAGAGAGGAAAAGAGCGAAGCTGAATAGTGAAAGGATGTTTTCTGTGATCTGGAGGATCCTGCTGGAGCTCTTACTGGTTTGGTGGATGTTTGAAGGGGTCATCAGGTGAGTTTTTCACAGGTGTGCCATCATTCCTCACTGGTTTCACCATGTCATTCATTAAAACACTTGTAGAGGCTTTTTGTGAAGATCCAAATATAGTTTTAAAATGTCTTCAGAAGAACTCATGTGTATCTGTGTAATTGGTTAAAATGACCAGTTTCTTCCTTAATATTTTTTTTCCATACTTGTGTGTGTTTGTGTGCTCAGTCGTCTGTATTTGGCTTGTGTGTTCAGTTCAGAAGTCTTCATGGGTGATAGGTTTATTTTAATCCCGGGGAGCATTCTTATGTTTCCGAGTGTGTGTTTGTTGGCTTTATGTATCTGGGTCTCTGAAGTATGAGGCTGACACATAGAGACAGCTCTGTCCAAAGTCATTTTCACTGTTACTGAAATTACAGATTTATTGAAGTTCACATAATGAGATTGAACTATTATTGTCCTCTCTGGAACAAGACATTTCTTGTTCTTCACTCACCTGAGGATGCATTTGTTGTGTGTTTATTTCCATTCCCTGTACGCTGTCTGAAACAGACTTTATATTTTCAAAAATCGAATTTGCCACAGTTCTGCTTACAAACAGACAGCGAAATTGAAGAGGAACTGGACCAGAAAATTTCTCTAAATATGGAATAAGATTCAAAGTGTGTGTGAGAAAGAGCTGACTTTTTCCCTACTTGGACTTCCACTTAACTCTTTCTTAATAAAATATTAACACCTTAAACAAACTGCAATTAGGGCCAAGGCAATAAAAATGCCAATGCTGTTTTCATTTTGTACTGCAGCCACACAAAGAAACAGACAGGATGTGTCCAGTGGAGTTTTTTTTTAAATAAAACATGGGGTAGATGACGTTCTGATGTGCTCATTTAAAGGCTTACTAAAGGCTTTAAGTTAGCAAGCAGATTTCCCTCCGCCATTCACTTTTCAAATTGGCATACATTATTACCAAAGCATTCAGTCAATAATGGAATGATAATAATGCCTTTTGGCACCATTGAATGTTAAAATGAACAACAGAAAGAGCTCATAAAGAGTATACTTATTAAACCACACACATATACAGCCCAAAAGTCTGACACCACAATGGGATTCTGGTATTCTGGTAATTTAAAATCCCAATTAGACTGAATAAATTGAAGTTTCTGAAGACAAAGAGGAAGAGATGAATGCAAAGCACATCAGTTGTTCAATATAAATGGTTGAGGGAAATCTGATTCATGAGGATTTTGAAAAATGCAAAAGCAATTTCATTAGTGGTCTCAGAATTTGGACCCCCCTGAAAAACGAACAGCTCTTTAATTTGACGATTCTGTTGGAGGTGGGTGTAGATCTGATGTAATTTTATTATTATTATTCCATCTCTCTCAGGTGTGTGTTTAGTAAGGAGCTAAAATCTCCCAGCAGTAGGGTGAAGCCCATGTCACCGTCTGATTTTCTGGATAAACTAATGGGGAAAACATCTGGATATGATGCTCGGATCAGGCCCAACTTTAAAGGTACTCCACTCCAATATACTGTAGCATAATTTAGATATTTAGATTTTTAACTTCTGTTAAAGGAACAGTTCACAAAAAAAAAAAAAAATCTAAATGTGAGTGTAGCAAGTGATGAGTGCATCAAAAAATGTATGCAAATGAGAGGCAAAAAAAGAGTCAATTACTGTGTGATAAAAAACAAATCACATTTATTTAAGTAGCACTTTACACAATATACATCATTTCAAGTCCACATTACAATTTAGAGAGATCTAGCTGTTATCAGAGGTAACTGTCTAAGTTATGTATTTCAAAAATGTACATATACAAATCACAGTTAGCTAAAAATGTATTAATTTAAACAATGTTATAATTTAAGGCAGAAACAGTGAGCTCATTGAAGTAATGAAGAATGTCACGTCTATTGAACACTATACCGTTCAAAAGTTTGTGGTTTTTGAAAGAAGTCTCTCATGGCTCGTTTCCACTGAGCGGTACGGTACGGTACAGTACGGTACGCAATTATTTGTGTTTCCACTGTCAAAAGTTGTGAATGGTACCAAAATGCCGAACCGTACCGTACCACTTTTTGGGTACCCTTCCGTTGGGGTACCTAGCACAGTGCAGAGCCAAGTCAGAGATATATATACTAGAGATATATCTCGTACGGTACTAAAGGGTGGAGCTAGACTCACTGCAGAACGTTGATTGGTTCACACAGGATATCGTCACTTGCACAGAATATCGTCACTTGCGCGTGCTACAAGGGGAATGACAACATTAGAAGCGCCATTTTTTAATATACAGTTGAAATATAATACTACTGTTATTGTGTCACGAAATGTAGTTTTAAGAGTTTTCCAGGCGAGAATGTAGTTGTTTAAAGCTCAAATCTGTGGTTTATTTATAAACATTTATGATAATTTGATCCATGAGATCCATTCCACTCGATCACCGGGAGCTCTGCGCTCATGTTCCCCGCCTGAAACAGCCTTTCCTCGCCTAGTCGTTCTGATGTTTGCCGCTGATTCTGATATCTCTGTAGTGGTTAAACATGAGATATAATTCATCTTGTGTAGACCTAACGGGCGATCTTTGGTCTCGTGAATCTATAATTCGTTTCCTGGCCAATCGTTTTGGCTGAGGGCTAAGTAAAGTTTCATTTATTTGAGCGCTGAATTTGTATATGTGACTGGTAGGGTAGGGTTGCCTTTTATTTAGTTTTGTTATAAATAGGCTAACGTTATACATGCAGTGAATATAATCAATAGCTACACGTTGCCTGAACCACATTTGTGTGCCTACAGTATAATGTTTAAAATGTACTTAAATGAAAACAAAAAGAGGCAGAGTGGTGTTTTATAACATATTTCGTTTTATTGTTGCCTAAAATGTACATACACAGATAACCGGAGTAGCAGAGCGAGCTGAGTGGCGTTTTCAAGAACGCTGCTTTTCCATTTGCAGAATTAGCAGACTCGCGTCCTCTGGACTTATTCTCCTGAGTCGGTCTTGGCAAGTCCGAACTTTGCGTACAGTTGGTATTGAGAAACGCCTAATGTCGGTGCTTGACTTCTTGTGACAAACATGCCACAAGAAGACATTAGGCAAGAACATTTAGGCATTTAGGCACATTTAGGCAAGAACAAGATCTGCTGTATGTCATCCATTGTTGTTTACTATGTTGCTTTAGTTTCTTCTTCGCGTGAAAATAACGTCGATTGCTTCTTTCTGGCAAACACCACGCCTATCAAGTAAGGGTACTGTTGGCGGTGGAAATGCTAGCCGGATCATGGTTTACCGACCCGAACCGTACTGTACTGTACTGTACTGTACCGTACCATACCACTCAGTGGAAAAGAGCCATTATGCTCACCAAGGCTACATTTATTTGATCAAAAATACTGTAAAAACAGTAATATTGTGAAATATTATTACCATTGCCTGTGCTACCATCTACAATGTCTGGAACACCAGTGACTACTGTGAATAGGGCAGTTGGCATCCAGGAAAGACTGGAGGACAGCCGGGAAAGACCAACTGACGGCAGGAAAGACTGTACCAGGGGTGGATGGGCTAGCTACCCTCTCCACAGGTCCTCATACTGGGGACACCCTAACTAACTACGAGCACAAATAAAGAAAGACAGCACGAAGGTCCACCGAGAGGCGGGATGGAAGATGGACCAAATAGGATGGATAACACGGAAACGACCGGCACGGAAACGACTAACGAGCAAAGGATCCTGAGGAGTTGCAGCTGCGGGTGGTCGAATGTGACAACTTACAGGGCCCTGCGGATACACCAAGGGAAGGCTAAATGTGGAGGGAAGGACCAAAGGCAAACTTGCACTGCGCAAGAAGGTCAGACAAGGAGAAATCAGAGCCGGATTGAGCACCACAGCGTTACTGATTTCACCGTTGCGGATGATCACAGGGAGGTGGAGCAGCCGCACCAGCAGCAGTCCCAAAGTCAACAACAGGCGCACAGCCCAGAGCGTGAGCGTCACCAGGGGCGGAGTGGCAATCGGGAGAGTCGGAAGTTTCCCCGGTGGGCCGGTAGTGTTCCGAGGCCGCGAGGGCCGGTCTGATAATAGTTATACATTGCAAGCTCTTAGCAACACCATCCGGCGGCCTGCTGCTCAAACTGTGTAGCCTCTCTGCTCAACCCGTAAATAAATTCATCGAGTTCCTAAATGGTCTAGTGGTAGATCTTTTGCCTAGCGTGTCAGAGGTTACGGGTTCTAATCCGCACTCGTGTAGTTTTTTTCTCTCTCGTCAAAACCGAATATGTTCATCATTGGTTACAGTCTATATCAGGCAGGGACACGTTTGTGTGCATTTTATTTTGTGATCTCACCGGAACGAATAGAGAGTCTCCGCAGCGGCGATAGATTGAAGAGCGCGTCCGAGTGAAGACTGCGCGCGCCACAAGAGAACAACTGTAGCCATGACACTGATAGCAGCGGACACGAGCACTCAGCTTGATTTAAACACATTTTAGCGCTAGATCTCTTATTTAATGGCGAACTAAATTAATGCTCTGCTAGTTAACTGTGAATAAATAATGTTTTATTTATTTGTAATAGGTGCATCCGTGTAATGTTTTAAAACGTGGTGGGGGACAATATCGATCCTGAGAACAGTGGTGGGGACATGTCCCACCCGCAAATTACGCCTATGATGACGACGACTTCACTGGATCCCCGCCAAACCCCAAACCCCCCCCCCCCCCCCACCCCCCCCACCCCCTGGCCACGAGGACCGATGGTCTACAAAATTTCCCGGTAGATTTTTTGGTCCCACTCCGTCCCTGAGCATCACGCAGAGACACCCAGCAGCAATCCCACAAGGCAAGTAAGGGAGAGACCAACCAGACAAGCCAAAGTCAAATGGCCAATATCCATCGAAAAAGCCGCCTGGGAAAGCTTCGACTAAGACCTGCACACCATCCTTGAGAATTCGCTACGAGGCAGCACAATCACCAAGCTAAACCTCTTTGGCAGCATTATTTATGGGGAGGGCAAAGAGAGGTTTGGGGAGGTAATCCAGAGGAAGAACATCCCTAGGAAGGGGGGAAGGCGTGAGCAAGAGATTCACAAGCTCTTGAAGGAGAGGAAGCTGCTTAGGTAGTCCTGGCGAAAAGCAGATGAGAACAAAAAGGAGGGTCTGAAAGCTCTCTGGGACCAGATCAGAAGTAGGCTTGCAACCCTGAGAAGGGCAAAGCGGATCCGGAAGCGAAGAGGCAAGAAAAAGAAGGAGCGAGCGAGTTTCTTTCGGGACCCATTCAGATATGCCCGAAGCCTGTTGGAAGAGAAGAAGAGTGGGAGGCTTGAAGCCACCGAGCAGGAGCTTGAGGAACACATCAAGAACCAGCTAACCGACCGGCATGTGCCTTGTCCTGCTGAGCCAGCCACCGAATTTGACACGACACCACCCAAATGGGCTGAAGCCAAGCTAGTGGTAGACAGGGCAAGGTCTGCCTCTGCACCAGATCCCAATGGCGTGCCCTACAAGGTTTATAAGAACTGCCCCATGGTGCTGAAGCTACTCTGGAGGCTGATGAGAGTAGCGTGGAAGGCCAAGAACATCCCCTCAGAATGGAGCCATGCAGTGACAACCTTCATCCCAAAAGAACAAAATTCCTGCAACATCAACCAGTTTAGAGGCATTATAAACGTGGACGGGAAAATATTATTTTCTGTGGTGGTCAAGCGTTTAACCAACTACCTCCTGAACAACTGCTACATTGACACCAGTTGCCAGAAGGCAGGCGTCCCAGGGTTCCCCGGTTTTGTGGAACACTCAACCATGATCTGGGAGCAGATTCAGACAGCCAAGCGGGAAAAACAAGATGTAGTTTGGTTGGATCTGGAGAATGCCTATGGTTTCATTCCCCATCTGTTAATCACCTTTGCCCTGGAATTCTTTTACATACCACCCAGAATTCGGAACCTCATCTCCAATTACTTCAGCAGCTTCACTGTTTTCTATACAACACAGGAGGCAACGTCAGGATGGCACCACCTAGAGAAAGGCATTGCAACGGTTGCTGTCTCTCCCTTCCTCTTTACAGCAGCCTTTGAAATCATTCTCATCGGTGGGAGACAGATGGTCCGAGGGGTGAGAGGACAGTCAGGCCAACGACTACCAGCCCTGCGGAGTTACATGGATGACGTAACCACCCTTCTTCAAACAGCAGCTGTAGGGGGTTTGTGGGAGCATCCACCAAGCGCTTCCTGAAGAGCATGGGAGTCACCGGCCCCAAACTCAGAAAGGCTCTGAAAGACCTGGCCGAGGAGGCCAAGCAGGGAAGCTTTTGGCTTTGGTTAAGAAGGAAGGACCAGGCGTGGGGAAAGCAAGGGTCCTAGGGTCAGCTGCAGGGGGCGACAGGGAGACGGTTGCTCCACCACCGTGAGATGTTCCGGGATTAATGGAGAGGGACATCAATGAAGGGTGGCTCCCGGCTGATGACCCTGCAGCTACCTGCAATGGCACCGTCGGAGGTGCGGCAAGCAGAAATGCTCAGGAGGCAGTCACTTGCCTGTGCTACCATCTATTTCAAATAACTGTTTTCTATTTTAATATATTTGAAAATGATTTTTATTTCTGTGATGGCAAAAACGATTTTTTTAGCATCATTCCTCCAGTCATTAGTGTCACATGATCCTTCAAAATCATTCTGAAATGCTGATTTGGCACTCATGAAACATTTCTTATTATTTTAACAGTTGAAGAGGGTTGTGCTGCTTAATATTGCTGCTTATAAAACTGTGATATATATTTTTCAGGATTCTTTGAGAAAGTTAAACCTAACCCTAACAGCATTTATTTGAAATATAAACATTTATATATATATATATATATATATATATATATATATATATATATATATATATATATATATATATATATAAAATAATAATGTCTTTGCTGTCACTTTTCTATATAATGCAAATAGAAATAGAAGTATTAATTTCATTAAAAAAAACTTTTGAATGGGTGAATATGGTGATTTTATCTACTGTATAAAAGCAATTGTAGACCATACTGAACAAAATCACACACACTGTACATTTTACCGACACACCACAAAGCAATAGCTTAGTGTTGAATCTCCACTGTACTGTTTTGTACTTTGCTTCTGCTGAATCTAGCTGATGGACAGACACATAAGGCTGGAAGGACTTTAGGAGTCAGTCTACTACGGTCTTTCTCTTGTCACTCACTCTCTCTTCTTTCAATTCCTTTCAATGATAGCCTGGTCATTTTTAAACATCACAGCAGGGAACACAGAAGTAAGTAAAACTGCTGTTGCAGCTTAATCTCCCGTACATAGATTGTTTTGGCAGGAAAATTTTATGTGGTCAGCAAAGAATATATTTACATTCTCTCTGAGCCTTGCATGTGAAAAAGTGCTGCAGCCCGAAAACACAGAGAAACATAAGATCTCATTAAACTATGTAGCCCCCCCCCCCATGGGTTCTCTGGTCTATTTTTTCCCTTCCCCACCTCACACAGACTCCCAGTGACCATTCAACCAGAGAAACCCACAGGCGAAAAACGACAGAATACGAGACTTTCAGCCCCAGTCGATGAGAATGATTTCAGAAACATGCAGGATACGGCTGTCAGCTCACGCTAGTTTTCTCTCCGTAAAAAGTGTCACAACAGCTTCTGTGAGGATTTGTGAGGGCCAGTTTCTCCGTTGGCATTAGGGCCATTTAGTTTGTCATGCTGTCCACTTGAGTGCATGTTAACCCACAGACCTAAATAAGTCTATTCCATTCCTTCTCTTGCTTATGTTTTTAAAACTGGAATTTCTTTTTTTATTTATACTTTTTCCTCTCTTTTTCTCATGATCTCTCTTGCATTCTCTCTGTGGGCGTCTCTGAGCTCGTATATATTTAATATCTGTTCTACATCTCAGAGATGTGGCTGTCAGCATGTGTGGGGGGAACGTCCCCTCTGATAAGCTATATATATCGCTAATGTCATGAACGTTAAATCAATAAATAAAATGCTGCAATCAAATATTTACAGAGCAACCGAGTGCTAATTAAACATATCGGCTAAATCGGCATAGCCAGCCGTATAGTTCATGAATGAGGCATTTTACTGTTGTCTGGTTCGCTATGGGCTTTTCATGTTCATGAAAATGCTTCATTACTTGTAAATTGATTTAACAGTCTCGGACAACCTCTTCAGTATTTGTCTGTTGCTATCTACGATTTGCTGCTTGAGAATTTCTTTTTATTCAAGACACTGAAGCTGACACAATGGGTCAATTCTGCTTGAATTATTTATCTAATCTAACATGTTAAAATGGTTGACACAGATGTTGAGTTTTTAATATTTTTCTTTTCGGCCACGATGGGCATGAATCATATCTTTAGTCGACTGTTATTCCTGCTGAAAAAACCCCCAGCTTATATAGCCAAAGATTATTTGTTCATTTTGGTCTGGTTTGCTGGATTTAGTCAATCTGGATGACCAGTAAAACACAAGGCTGAACAGGCTAGACCACTGTAAAGCAGGTAAGACCAGTGAAGCATTTTAGGCTTGTTTAAGTTTTGAGAGGAATGCTTTTATTTCTTACGATGTTCTCTTTTTCCTTTTCAGGTCCTCCTGTAAATGTCACCTGCAACATTTTTATCAACAGCTTTGGTTCCATCACAGAGACCACCATGGTACACACACACACACACACACACACACACACACACACACACACACACACACACACACACACACACACACACACACACACACACACACACACACACACACACACACACACACACACACACACACACACATAGACAGATACTGTAGGTAGATAGAATTTCAATATTTATGTATTTTACTCAGCTGCTTTGCCATCTGATACATTTCTTAACACTAACTCGTCAGGATTATCGGCTGAACGTTTTTCTACGGCAACAGTGGAATGATCCACGGCTGGCTTATAAAGAGTATCCAGATGATTCCCTGGATCTGGATCCATCCATGCTGGACTCCATCTGGAAGCCAGACTTGTTCTTCGCCAATGAGAAAGGCGCCAACTTTCATGAGGTCACCACGGACAACAAGCTGCTGAGGATTTTCCAGAATGGAAATGTGCTGTATAGCATCAGGTGCGATATCACCCCCTATAGGTAATAATTCCAAACTATTACATGAAATTTAATCAGAAATCTCTCTCTCTCTCTCTCAGACTCACTCTAATTTTGTCGTGTCCTATGGATCTGAAGAATTTTCCAATGGACATACAGATTTGTACTATGCAGCTAGAGAGCTGTAAGGCTCAGCATCATCAACTAATCTCATTTTTATCTCATTTCTCTTTTATATGCACATTATTCTCTCTGTCTCTCTCTCTCTAGTTGGCTACACTATGAATGATCTGATATTTCAGTGGTTGGATGAAGGCCCAGTGCAAGTGGCCGATGACCTTATGCTGCCCCAGTTTGTCCTGAAAGAGGAGAAAGACCTGGGATACTGTACAAAACATTACAACACTGGTACAGCACTAAATACCACAGTGAAGCTTCAACTGAAATACAGCACTATTGTGCACTGTGATGTACAGCACAATGCTATTGAAATTCCACCATTATTTTATTTTATTTTGATATAAGTAGATAAACATTTCATAAGTGCTTAGATAATAAGTGTTATGAGGAATAATAATGGCAAATAGGTTTTTAGAAGTAAAAATAATTGATGCTTGTCCGTACTTCACTATGATAGGATGCTAGGGTGTTGCTATTGTGGTAGATTTTCCCCCTACGCACACCTGACTGACACCTGAAAATATTATACTCAGTTGAGTTCACCTCTGACCGCTCGGGTTGATGCCTAAGTGTAGCTATTCTGACCATATAAAATGCCTAAGAATTATAGTTACCTGACCGCAATCTAACCCTGCCTAAGAGTCTCACAAAGAGTAGAACGACGTCTCGTCCCCTTTCACACTATCACTTGGGAATAAGGTATCTAGTGTTCTTAACCCGCTCCACACTATCACATGGGAATAGAAGTAAGATCTCTAGTGTTTCGCTAAATAACTTGTTCCACTAACTAACTTGCTGCGCAGCATTAGACAGACTCCAGACAATGTCTTTGAATATGCTTTAAACACGGCCTGAGGATCTCAGACAAATCTCAGAGAGAATCCCACCAGCAAAAAGAATACAACAGTTTTTATAGAATAGGTCAATAGGAGCATGGCAAAAATGACATGGGACATTACATAATTTCCCTACAATTTGATTGGTTCTTCCTATGCAAACCCTTCTGTTACTAGGTAGGAGCAAACTTAGATCTCAAATCATTAAAAAAAAATGGAAAAGGTTAAAAGTTCAGTTGATTACTCAATATGTCATGAGACTATTTTAGACTGTTATATTTTTCATATTGTCTAGCCAGCATCTCAGAATTTTCCACTGGTTTCGACACAAACTTCAGAGTTACATTTTGTTCAAGTGTCAGAATGTTAGGCTTAAAGAAGAAGTAAGGTTAGATGTTAGAATTGTGATTAGTTTGATATACAGTTTACTATTTTATTTATTTAAAAAATCCATCACACTATGCAGTTGCTAAGGTTTTCTAAATGTGTTCTTACAATGTTGCTATGCAGTTGCTGTGGTGTTTTGAGTGGTTTCCAGGGGGTTGCTATGCGTTTGCTGAGGTGTTCTCAGTGGTTGTTATTACGTTACACTGCTGCAAGGGTGTTCAGGGTGGTTGCCAGGGGGTTGCTATGTGTTTGGTTAGTATAAGAAACTGTAAATGAGGCTAACTTATTCTTGCTGTCTAACATGAGTGTGTGTTTCACCCAGGTAAGTTCACTTGTATAGAGGTGAAGTTTCATCTGGAGAGGCAGATGGGTTATTACCTGATCCAGATGTACATTCCCAGCCTCTTAACTGTTATCCTGTCGTGGGTCTCCTTCTGGATCAACATGGATGCTGCCCCGGCCCGGGTTGGGCTGGGCATCACTACAGTTCTCACCATGACAACACAGAGCTCTGGATCGAGAGCATCACTGCCTAAGGTGGGAGAGAATCTTTATCCATCTATACATTCATCCACTATCAGTCATTACTTACTCACCCCAATGTTTTCCCAAACCTGTATGACTTGTTAAAACTAGAAAATAGAGATATATCGATGTATCGGCCACCGATATGTTCATTTGATGATTTTCTATCAATTTAAAACCATCTGCAAATAGCATGAAAAGGCAGATATAACGGTAACACTTTACAATAAGGTGAATATGTTAAAGCTGCAGTCGGCAAGTCTGGCAGATTGAGTGGACTTAGGCAAAATTTGGAATGTTTACAACTCTCATGCCCCTCCCCCACTATCAACGGATACCCTCCCACCGAGTTCGTGCTCGTCAGTGCGTGTGCAACAGGTTATCTGTGAACGCGCCCGTCTCATCAGCATCCATCAACACCATGGACTATTTGGAGGTATGCTGCCCTGGCTAATCTACCGATAGATTGCAATTGCTAACGTCATTTATACTCTAAATGAGCTTACTTGATTTGTTAGTGTTTTGAAAGCGAGATACATCCGCCATCACTCTTCGTTACTGCGCGAACTTCAGGCGTGTGCATGTGATTGTAACGTGAGGGGTGGCGTGTGCCGGATCTGTGATTGACAGTCAGATCTCACACCCCCCTGCGCTGATTAGACCCGATGATCCGGGAGCTGTGGATTTTTGCTAAACAAATAACACGCTCCAGGTGGAGTTAGAAACTCGGGTTTATTTCTAAAACCACTTTATTTATGTTGTTCTGTCGGATTATAGTGTCGATTTCACTGAATATGATCAAAAAAAATTTGCCGACGGCAGCTTACAAAGATTAACTAATACAGTAACAAATGTATTGATCATTGTTAGTTCATGCTAGTTAAGACATTAACTAATGTTAACTAATGAACCTTATTGTAAAGTTTTACCGATATAACAAACCGATGGTTTATTAATTAACTGTGTAAAGGCACTAAGTTCACAAGTTCATACTTACATCAAATTAAACACTTGGGCTTGGAATTTTTGCCCGAACCCAGAGTATTCCCCCCCAGTTGTTGTAAGAGTAGTTAGGACTAGAAGTGAGGAGATGGGGTGGAGGGATGCTGTTAAACTGTCAACGAACGGAGGTAAGTCTGCTGTATACTGTATCTATTAACTCGTTGATTAACTGAATGTGCTCCACTCGTGTTTAATTAGGTTTGATTATCTGAACGTGCTCCTCCCGAACTTTGTTAAATAAAACATAATTTGTATGATGTCTGTTGCATTATCCAACGTTTTTCTCTGGGTAAAATAATTAAAGGCTCACTGAAGTGCCTTGAAACATGCATAATTATTCAGTGTGTTGACGTTATTTCCACTAAAACAGGAAGACAGGACGGGACATATCGAACAGCTCTTCCCCTTTTTTAAAATAGCCAATAGCATTTAGTTTATATAAGAGCTCGGCCAGAGCCGTTGAGCTCGGTTTCCTCCTAAGCTCTAATCGCTTTAAAATACAGAATACTGTGCAGAATTTAAATGGGCCCGATACGTTTTGGGTTAGGTGCCACATACGATCCTCTCTGTGCTATCTTTTCTCTGGACCGGAGGAGACTGTGTGCTTGCTGCGGCGGTTCGCGTGACACTAATGTGAAACTTCATTCGCCCCAATGGAAAGCTTATTTACACTGTCCGAATCATTATCCTATCCCCTATATAGGCTAGTGTATTATGTGCCATTCACCATGTAGAAAATACTAGTAATTGCGTGAACAAGTGACCAATTTAAGCGGCAGCTTCACCATCTATTTGGGGACTGCACGCTTTAGATTCTAGAGAGCATTTGATTGGAAAGAAAATCTGATGAGAAGCTGAAGTGCAGAGTGATGTCATCAAAATCATTGATCCATATTAGCAGAAGTGAGAGATTGGAAGTTTTGAATGCTTATACCTTCTAAATGCGAATTGTGTCATTGTTTTGGAGCACACTATAGCTTATAGATAACAGTAAGGCTAACTTCCAAAAAACTTCCATTATGATTTCATGGGGACTTTAAAATGAACAAAACGAAATACAGAATGAAACAAAATGAAATCTGTACAAAATACAGCAGGGCTCAGCAATAAGAACTACCGGGGCCAACGTGAATGACACTCGGGACAATTGACTGAAATGTCACTGTCCCGATCAGGCCAGTGCTGCATCTTCGCAAAAAATATCCAAGCGCAAGAAGACGCAAAAGAGAACTTAATTCTTCTCACTGTTTGAGCACACATCCAAAGCGTGCATCCGGAAAGCCTTGTTGATTTGAGTTCTCTTTTACTTTTAATTCATCCAAAATTATATCAAAATGCCCATCTTGGCGAGTATCCTTGTAAACACAGTCGGCTATGCCTTAAATGAACGTAAACAGTTGAGAAATAAATGCTTGTGTACCAGTATATTGGATCAATGAAGCTCTTAAAGTGACAGCAGCAGAATATTCCTGTTGCGCTGATGTTTTAATGTTGAATGAGGTTGCCTATTCAAAACAAAGCCGTAAGTTAGCTTGATGACGCCGAGATTGAGCGCAGAATCATGGGAGATGTTGTCTTCACCTCACAGCCGGTGGAAAAGAATCCAACGGGACTCGGACAGAAATAATATTCATGGATGAGATTATCAACGTTACTGTGGTATGAAACAGAGCAGGGCCGAGTGCTGTGGGAGCGAAACGAGGCCGCTGAAGCGATTTCTAATGAGAGACGAGCGCGAGAATTGGCTCGAGAGCAGCGGGAATGTTTATTATGTCGCAGACGCCGCTTCCGCTTCTTCAGGTCAAGTGTCACAATGGTCAGGTCAACACAGCGCTGTTTTATCATTTACATGTGTCTGTTGAAAATTATGTTATAACATTACTCTGTGTGTTCGCTCGGCGACTGCTATGAGACACTAGTTGTACACTGCAGTAAGCTAGATCGATATTAAAATATTATTAATAAATTCTGGATGCTTGTGTTGCTAAATGGCATGCAATTAATTTTAAAACATATTGTATGACAGAGAAAATGCTGCATTACTGTTACTCAAAATAAAGCTGCATCTGATTATGTTATATTAGCCACTTGACAAAATAGAGTTTTTCTCTGAGCCATGGTAAAAACATGTTACTTGCGGAAAATCAAGAAAAGAAAATTCAATTCAAACAATAAGACTAACAGTGTTGAGCTATATAAATAGTTTTCTGTCTCTAGAACAGTTGTTCCATTGTCTAATAAAACATACAATATATTAAAGCGTCTTTGGTGATTTCATGGTTTCTGCTAAATAAAAGATAATGTAAGTACACAAGTCAACAAAATATATAACACTGTTCTAGTGGTTTTTTGATATTTTAATGCAAAAATCTTACATATTGTGCCTTTAATCAAACAACAAAAGACAACAAAAAAATTTGCTCACTACTCTTGACTAAATAACTTTTGTAACTTTAATAAGGATTCATGTATATTTATTTTTTACAATGAAGAATATATTTTACATTTGATTATTTTATTTCTGTATACCTGAAAACTTTGACCTATACTGAAAAGCAATATTTATTTCTTATGTATCTTTGTTCTGTTGTATTTATGTTGGCTTGTTGAATGTTAAATGGATCCAATCCATGATCACTAGAAATAGTTTTATGATGGCGCAATAAACTAGCATACCTTAATACAATACGTTTGTGAACTTTGCTAATTTAAAACACACAATCAAAACAGTTCTATTTAAAAATATCTAAATAAAATATCTATTTTAATGACAAAAGTTCAAATAAGAGAGCAAGTGTTAGTTGTTAGCCCCCCTCCCCCCAAAAAATCCTATCTGTGCATCCCTTGTTAAAACTGTTTTTTTTTCTGTTAATCAACAGCATTTGACAGATTCTTAATGTATGTTGAATCAAGAATGTTCCTTTAACATAGACTGTGTTTGCATTAACTACGCTGTGTGTGCATATGTACAGGTGTCCTATGTGAAAGCCATTGACATCTGGATGGCAGTGTGCTTGCTGTTTGTCTTTGCTGCTTTGCTGGAGTATGCAGCAGTTAACTTTGTATCTCGGCAACACAAAGAATTCTTCAAACTGCGGAGAAAACTACGGGAGGAACAACGCTACAGAGCTGTGAGTGGCAGTCAGAAACTCTCCTCTGTCGTACACGCGCGACATGCATTAAGTGCCCTTAAGATACTGTACAACCACTGTGTCCCTTTGATGTTTCACGAGCAGCCGACTGGCCCCCTCCAGAGCAGAGAGGGAAGGTCAGTGATGGCATAAAAAGTATGTCATGAATATTGCACAGAGTAATACTATTATTTCCACATAAAAATATGGGACAACATGAATGGGAAGAAAGTGAAAGAGCTGCAGGATTTTAAATATGGAGAATGTACCCGTGATGTCGAATATGAAATGCTTAGCTGAACTGATAAATTCAACATCATTTCTCTTTTAAAGTTGAAATGTGTCATTTCTGGGCTATCAGCTCCACCAAATAGAATAGCTAAAGTAATAATTGTATTCAAACAGGTTTTCTGAATTTTAATCTACTATTGGTTGGTGAGACAGATAGTCCCGCCCCAAGCTCACGCCATTGGTTGATCCATTATTGTTGGGTCAAGCTCAAATAAACAAAGCAGTATTTTAATAGCACCAAAGACAAAGCAAGTGTTTATAATGTTTTAAATACAAATGGCTTTCTTATAGTTTCTAAATATTAAGCTGTCACATATATTAAGAAGACAGTATTTTAACATTGAAAATGTTCTTAATTTTTAAGCTCTAAAAATGTATTTTTTGTTATACTCAATGGCTATAAAGGTAAATCTCATGAATCCTGTCGAGAACATGTGTTTTGTGTTTTTTTAAGTGAAAGTAATATATAATTTGCTTTTTAGAAATATGTGAAATGAGTGAAAACATACAAACAAACCCTTAAGAAAAACATCCAGATGCATTACGCTAATGAGAATGGGGTGGGGGGTAATTGTGCTTTTAATGGAAAATCTCGCAATGCACTTTTAATGGTCCTAAAAATAGGCTTAATTTTCTTTATGCTACACATAATTACTTGTTTTGTCTTTTGATTTTTGAGGTGTATTATGACCCAGACATGCCCTTTGTCTGCCTGGAATAGGAGGCTATTCCCAGACTCCTCTCAGGAGTTTTAGTCTGCAAAGATTGCAGTTATTTCCTTTTCTTTGTTACTCTGCTCTTAACCAGCTAGTTGAGGGAACATCGTGGCTTTCTTTTGGACACAGCAGACTCTGTCCTGCTACAAAGAGCAGAGAGAATAAATATTACACTATCCTGTCCTTTTCTATTCCTCCTCCATATTCCCTCTATCGCCCTGCAGGGCAGGTTATGTGTGTGTGTGTGTGTGTGTGTGTGTGTGTGCGTGTAACCCAGTGGGTGAGTTGGTGGCGCTATGCCCCCTCATTTGCCTTAGGGATGCTGTTAGGCATATAACATGCAAACAAGCTACTACTGCACTCAAGCTTTTAGGCATAATGAACATATAAAAACAAACCATTGTGAATGTGGTGTTAGCCACATACATACTAAAACACACATACACACACTCTGTCTGGCTGTTTGTTCACAGCAGCACGGTGCAATAGGCTGTCTGATCTTATGTGCGCCCAAAGCAGCGACCTGAACACAATATGATTCAACACAAACGCACCAAACTGACTGGATCTCATACTCAAAAAAGCATCCTTTCCCAAAGGAACAAATTGCTCTCCACACACAGAAATACATTGAAGATGTCACTAAGAATAAATAACCTCCTGGAAAAGAAAAGAGAAAACTTGAGGAAAGCCAAAGAAAGCTGGCACAAAAAAGAGAAAAAGCCAAGGAAAATTATTGCAACTGACAAAACATATTTAGACTGAACAACTAATAGAAAATGCATGTATCTTAGAGAGTAAATGCCTTGTTTAAAACACCAAATGGTTCAGACTGGAACCTGCTCCCTGGCTTAGTTACGTCTTGACAAATAAAATATATATCTGTGGAAATGTTCATGCCCACCAGAGATTTTTAAGGTACATTGTGACCCCGTTTCATATCTCTAATGCATGGTTACAGATAAGCCAGGGAGGTCTGTTGAAGATGCGAGAATATTTTATTGTTTGAATAAATGATGAATCCGTTTTTAAATGTGTCTTTGCATTGTCTTCAGGCCGGTCAGGCTGGAGGAGCAGAGACGAAGAACAAAAGCAACAACGTCACAGGGAGCACACCAAGCAAAAGCGCACAACGCAAATGCAGTGCCTGTGCACGGGTATGCACCCACAAACTATATATTTACTTATAAACACGCTTCTCTATTGAATACTTGATTCTGATTGGTCAATTGTGACATTGAGCTGTCCAATATCTTTATGTAATGACCATGATTGATGGCAACCTAATGGTGCTACTTTCGTGTCTTTCCCGTTTCATAAAAATGCAAGTTCTGAAATAACAGAGGATTAAAAAAAAAATCCAGTTAAAAAAAAAAAAAAAAAAAAAAAAAGAAAAAAAAAAGACTTGAATGTTCCCTTCCCCTCGTGTATTCACACACTTATATACGCTAGGCCTACTGTTCAAAAGTTTTGTGACAGCAAGATTTAGTTTTTAAAGAAAGGAATGCTTTTATTCAGCAAGGATGCATTAAATTGATCAAAAGACAGTAAAGACATTTATAATGTTACAAAAAGATTTCAATTTTTTTTAATCTATTCATTAAAATCCTGAAAACAAATGTTTTCCACAAAAATATTTATCAGTACAGTTAATCAACATTGATAATAATAAGAAATATTTCCTGAGCACCAAATCAGATTATAGGAATGATTTCTGAAGGATCATGTGACACTGAAGACTGGAGTAATGATGCTGAAAATGCAGCGTTGCCATCTCTGGAATAATACTTTTAAAAATGTGTCAAAACAGAAAACTGTCATTTTAAATAGTAAAATTTGTACAGTATTACTGTTTTTATTGTAATTTGGATCAAACAAATACAGCCTGGGTGAGTTTTTAAAAACCATAATTTTACAAGTGTATATTGATTTTTTTTTTTTTTTTTTTAAATGTTTTTCTTCAGGAAGAGCAGTTAGCCTCGCAGAATCAGGACCTGTACTTCACGGGATACGAGATGGACACCTGTCTGTCTGGGGACGGGCCTCTCTCTGAGGCTGCTGCCATGTTTGCGGGCCTGCCGCCTGGCCACATTCTGTTTGACATCCGCCGGCGCTTTGTGGAACGAGCTAAACGGATCGACACCATCTCACGAGCCGCCTTCCCGCTCAGCTTCCTTGTTTTCAATGTGCTCTACTGGTTCACGTACAAAGTGCTTAGAAACGAGGACATTATCCCTGCACTGCGACCCTGACAGCCTTTACGACTTATGAACTTCCCAGTATCCCAGTTAAAATCCAGTGTGAGGATGAGATCCTGTATCAAGGACATTGAAAATCAACACGTTTTCTCTGCATGAGTGAACTACAGTATATGCATGTGTCTAAGAACACAAAGACCATATAAACCTTTAGTTTATATGCAGAATGACTGAAACACTCCAATGAAAGTCTTGTGTTGCATTAAGCACATTTGTTTAAATGTTATAAATGAATTATTCCTCATGGCTGTTTGAGGAAGACTTTGAATAGACCTTAATGCTGCTTCATGGATTAAAAATAACTGTATCGGCAAATAAGCCCCAATTCAAGAGACCGTATCATTTTCAGTGCAAATGAATGCATAACAAGTTTGGTTGTGGTCATATCAAGCGGTGGTGGGTCACGAGTATGGAGGACCAGCTCTACCATATTTAAAAATAAATACAGAAATAAATAAATGCTCAATAAATAAATAAGCATACAATTAATTGCCCCCAAAAATACAATAAACAAATAAATGTAGGTAGAAATTAAATTATACAGTGAGACATAAATGTATATATCTCTTTTAACTAGCTTCTTTATTTATTCATCTTTGTAATAATTACCTTATTTATTTATTGTCCGTTATAATCTTCAACTTTATTTATTAATTACTTGTTTTTTTAAAGTATTTATTTATGTGCATGTTATAATATTTTTGTCTGTTTTATTCTTCCTTTGTATTTTTTTTACCCTATTTATTTCTTCAATGCTATTTATTTCTGCCTGTCTTTTTTACATTTCTGTATGCATTTCTGCCTCATTATGCAAATGAGGAGGGGCTGTGTCTTAAGGGGTCAACTTCTGCCCATTGGTTGGTTAGCATTTTACTGCATCGGTTGAATCTACATGCCACCGGCCACAGTCACAACAAAGATGGCTAAATTACCTACGATGAAGTTGTCAGTGAGCTGAGGCATTTAGCAACTGTTTTTGAAAACAATGCTAACGTTATAAGTATTGACTTTATTATTTTTCGTTTGGACGCTCTGACAGAATGTGTGTTTCAGTTAGCGGCACACATGGACACATATGTCGACAATGTAGTTTTTCAGAATCTGGAGGAAGCGGCCCATCTTCTTAACTCGGTCGCTAACGTTAATCACACACCTGGGATAGCTGGTCGCCCTGCTTATATGCTCCATTTGGACGCCGTGGAATGGTGCAATGGCACCAACAGGCAAACCCGCATGTAAAAGTCCCTCCAGATTTTGAAAAACTACATTGTCGACATCTGTATCCATGTGTGCCGCTAACTGAAACACACGTTCTGTCAGAGCGTCCAAACGAAAAATAATTAAGTCAATACTTATAACGTTAGCATTGTTTTCAAAAACAGTCGCTAAATGCCTCAGCTCACTGACAACTTCATCGTAGGTAGCCATCTTTGTTGTGACTGTGGCCGGTAAAATCCATAGACAGTATAAGAAGTGGAGCAGGATTACCACTTTCTTGTTTTTAAAAATTTGTGGTCTGATATAAATAAATATGTACTCCCTAATAAAGTTAAAGAAACTCACTTTAAAATAATAAACAGATACTATCCTTGTAATGACTTTATTAGTAAATTTAAAGAAGGGTTTTCACCACTATGCAGTTTCTGTAATGAAGAAAATGAAACAATAATACACTTATTTTTTAGTTGTAATTATACTAATTTATTTTGGTCCCAAGTTTCTTGGTTTCTTTTTGAGTTATTTTATAAATTTGTCACAATAACTGAGGTAATGGTCTTGTTTATGGATTGTAACTCTGATTTATTGGAAATGAATAATATAATTAAACTTCTCATTCTATTTGGAAAATATCATATACATAAAGCAAAATGTATATCCACTATACCAAATGTTAGACTATTTTCCACTGATTTGAAGATGTTTTATGACTCTCTAACTTCAATACAAAACAACCGCAAAGCTCTAAAAACATCAAAACTGTTGAAAAGGATACTCAATGTGTTAGAAAGATGATTGATATGTGAAATAAGATGCAGATTTTTTTTTTTTTTTTGTTCAAAGATTCAAATGTCTCTGTATTTCCCTTTAACGTTTTCTCAATAAAAATAAAAAATAAAAAAAAGTATAAGAAGTGGACAGAGCCATCTCATTGGAACTCAGTTGAAGCCCATTTTTAGCGATTTTTGAGCACTTCCGTTCCTGACGCGCAGACTCAAACCGACTCAAACTTGATGACGTGAGCAACCTGTCTAACAGACGTTAATCTTCTAGTAGCTGTGCGTGAAAATTGCCAACGTTAATCTTGCAGAGACGGGGAACTTGAGCAAAGAGTTCTTTGGCGTGAGTGAGCAGGAGTAGCTAAGTATTCCGTTGCTTTTATGAACTCGTTATCTATGGGCTTCTCCCTTGACGGGACGTCCCCCCGATTGCCTGCGAGCTTCTCCTCCTGTCTGTACTGTCATTTCCAAGGGGGTAATCCATCGACCGGAAGTTGAAGCCGGCCGGGTGCCGACATGTTGTAGCAGAATTTCACTTGCGTTAGCATTTCCATTGACTCCCATTCATTTTGGCGTCACTTTGACAGGGAATAACTTTACATCTGAGGCGTTTAAAGACTCCATTTGTCCATTATTTATTTCTAAAGAAACACGACAATGTATAAAGTGCTCAATTACCTTCTATGTTACATTATGGCCCCGTAGAAACAGTTTTAGTAAAAATAGGCTAACGATTGCGTCATAACCACTCGACTCTCTGTCGCGCTGTACAGAAATTACCGTACAGACAGGAGGAGAAGCTCGCAGGCAATCGGGGGGACGTCCCGTCAAGGGAGAAGCCCATAGATAATGAGTCCATAAAAGCAACGGAATACTTACTCCTGCTCACTCACGCCAAAGAACTCTTTGCTCAAGTTCCCCGTATCTGCAAGATTGACGTTGGCAATTTTCACGCACAGCTACTAGAAGAGTAACGTCTGTCAGACAGGTTGCGTCTGTCACAGCCCCTCCTCATTTGCATAATGAGGCAGAAATGCATAAAGAAATGTAAAAACGCCAGGCAGAAATAAATAGCATTGAAGAAATAAATAGGGTAAAAAAAATACAAAGGAAGAATAAAACAGACAAAAATATTATAACATGCACATAAATACTTAAAAAAAAAACAATTAATAAAAAGTTAAAGATTATAACAGACAATAAATAAAAAAGGTAATTACAAAGATGAATAAATAAAGCTAATTAAAAGAGATATATACATTTATGTCTCACTGTATAATTTAATTTTTACCCACATTTATTTTTTTTTTGTATTTTTTGGGGCAATTAATTGTATGCTTATTTATTGAGCATTTATTTATTTCTGTTTTTATTTTTAAATATGGTAGAGCTGGTCCTCCATACACGAGGAAAGGCTTGTTTGGCATTATTTTCTAGTCATGCATGTACAGATATCTACATAAATAGGAAAGCACCAAAATCTCAATACAAGCTTTCATTTTATTGACAGGCATCAAATTGGATCTAAAACAATGTAATCGCACATGTTCACTGCCCATGCTTAAATATTTTTTTCTCAGGTCAATCTAACAATGTGCCTGTACTTACTAGAGCAAAAAGACCAGACAATGAATGCTTTAAGACATCTTTTCCTCTTGCTGCCAAGTTGAAGTGTTACAATTTCAAACATTCATTTAACATGCGTCATGTCCCCTCCTTCCGCCTCTCACTACACAAAAAGCTGAGTGAGTCTGAGTAAAGATCCATCTTTCACTGCAGGATGCATAATTTGCTTTACCCCAACAGCTGCATGACATAACAGATCTGCTGTTAGAGTAACACTTTTGTAATCATTTATGGAAGCAAAGCTGCCATTTTGGTCCCCTATGGTGCACTTAGTGTGGGACTTAATTTGGAAACGATATTTGATACTGATGTTGAATGAAAGGCAAAAGTCAGCATAACTGTATACAACTTTTATTGACAGTCATGGTAAACCACAAAAAAAGCACTTGGCCCAGCTCAGAACTGGATGACCTGGCCCTGGAAGAAAGATGAGAATAGAAATTATACATAAATACTTATAACAGTCAGAAATAGTTTCAGTTTTCAATGGTTCTGTCCTTATGCCAAAGTACAATTTGTTAAGTCACTCTTTTTCCAATACACAGAGGATTATGCACTGTTTGACTTCAGTACTTGACTAAAAGTACATATTTGAAAGCCCAAACATTTGATTTAATTCTAATTAAAAAGGTTTACACTTGATTTAGATGTTAAAAATAAAATCCACCCACTGATTAATTTTAGTAAATCACCAGGCTTCCCATTTCTCCTCCAATGAATTTCCATAACTAGTTTTCCACTTTTAAAAAATTCATGCAAATTTTAAATTTACAAAGATTGCCTCACAAAAAGATAATTTTCTAGCTGATCATCTTTTAGAAGAGAGAATAACCACAAATCTTTCACTATAAAAATATCACAAATCAAATATTACCAATTTTCTCCATTATGGTGAAAACCCTGAAGACAATTAATGACTAAAATAGCCTTCAAACCACCATTTCATTTGTTTCTGTGTTTTATCGTCAGTACAAATGGCTTCAAATTTGCCTTTTTACTTGTTCTTTAACCAGCTAATGTGCATTTAATTACCTTTCTCTTTTTGTCTCCTCCCAGCTCAAAATGTTTGCATCTCTTAATGGCCAACATCCTCTTTGAGCGGCAGTTGGGCTCCACGCACTCCAGCCTCAGCACAATCTTCTTTGTGGTTTTAGCCTACAGCAAAAAGAGGGACAATTACACCTGATATGTAAACATCCAATGATCAACAATGAATATTGAGGGCAACAGTTTCTCCACACACAGATAACTAAACCCAACTTAGGCTGCATTTACACTTGGCACTTGAGAAATAGTAATTTGTACATGTAGCTTTGAACCTTCCACATTCTAGAATACTACTTACTTTTACTGGAGTTAGTTAAGTAATGAAGTAAACGGAATGATTTAATTTTCATTTTGATATACACATTTAGATTAAATATTTAAGCAGTCAAATTACATTATCCAGAAGTTAAACAAATTTAGAAGAACGTGCTGCTTTTGAACACTTCTGTGGCATGCTCCGTTTTAATGTCAGCTTAGAGTGCTAGGTGCATGAGAATTCCTCAAACTCAATTGCAGAACTCCTGTTCTAAAAATATCC